CTGTTTCATGTTCAGTTTGTTTTTTATGAATAAATCTAAATTGATCTCCAGCACACTCAGTTTTACTGCACATAGCTTAGTGATGCCTTGTGAATTCAAACACAATTGTATTTGCATTTTCATTGTTTTTCTGTCTATCCTTTCACTGTCTTTTTAAATCAATAAGTCCAGTCCAGGATTTTTCCCCAGGAGAGCAAACAGCATTTGTGATGAGCAGTAGTCACAAACATAATTCATATTGTGCATGCAACAATGGAAGGAGAGTGGGAGTTTTTAGGCAGAAAGGGCAACACAGCTGCACAAACTGCGTGAAAATAAATCAGCAATGTAGGATTTGTAAGTTTCTTTAGAGGCCTTAGAACTAATGCACTGCCCCATTAATTTCACAATACTGTAACTTAATGGGAAACTTCTTCTAATGAAGCCTGTAGAGAGTCCTCAAATGTCAAAAGTCCTAAGGGAAACATATCAGTGGTTTGTAATTGATTAAAGAGTGTTGCAACTTAAGACATCTTGCATCCCACAACACTTAAGGGTATGAAAGTTCTGGTGGGTGTCAGTGGAGAAAATGTTTATACTGTCCACTGCTTTGAACCTGCCCAGACTCAACAGCAAGGCTGAGAACGTGACAGAAACTGGAATAAAACTATTCACCAATGCCAGAAAAGCATTTGGACTCCAGAAGGTGTCCTGAAGTGATGTGTTTTGCAAAGACACCATGTTTTCAAGGGCAGATTTTCTTTTTATTGGAAACATGTTATCAGTTATTCAAAAATTATATTGCACATTGTATAAAAGAATGAAACCAGAGTAAAACTGTCAATGTTTTGAGATATTCCTTATCAAGGAAGGTCAAAGTTTACTGAACTGATAGAGCAAAGTAAGACACAGTTCTCTCCTTTTGTGGGTTTACTTCAAATAGAAGTGAATGGAATCAGTGTGGCCTTTTCCACCCAACTCTGAATGTCAGCTTCCTTAAATTAAATAGTGTAGAATTGTAGAGTTTTTTTAATCTGCCTACATTTTTCAGCACACCAGCAAAAGGCCCTAATTTTCCTGGGGGAGAAGGGGACTATAGCTTTTTTTAAAAACCTAGATATCTCTCTGTAATACCATTTTTAGAGCTTATTTTGAACAACTCTCCCTGGCCTTTGTCCTGCACATGGATTCTTAAATGTTGGTATGTCACACTTTTATATGGTAACAGCAGGAATTGAGGAAGGTGCCAGTATGAAGGAAGTCAAAGGAGAGAAAATCACAGCTGCTAAGAGACACTGCTTTATTTTTTCTAAATAATCTTCAGGTATGGTTAAATGTTGTTGGTGATATTTTTATCCTTAAATCTTGAACCATATTGAAACAATAATTTCTTCCAAGTATAAGAGAAAAGAAGGTTTGTTGTGATAAGTAGCAGTCCTTTATATGATCATGTCCACTGCTTGTGCAAAGGAGGTATCTCCATTGAGTGACAGAATTTTAGCCACTCCTGTTGTTAAAACACTTTACTACTATTTAAAAGTTCAGTAACAAAATGATAAATAGAATAGATAACTTTAGTTTTATGCTTGAAAAGTGAGAGGTTGATAATAATGATTTTCTCAGGGTTGATACTGACTGAGTCTAGACTTGCTGCAATCACATTCCCAAATATGCAGTTGGCAAGGCTGAGGCCTGGATTTAGAGACACGGTGAGGGTGAAAATGTGCAAGCTATATGAGAGTGCCAGAGTGGAGTTTCAGTTTTTATGAACTTCTAAAGGGAGAAAACATGCAATACATGACAGCAATAATGGGGAGAATATTTCTGTATAAGGGAAGGATCAGTGACTACTAATGATGTAAGGAGTAATGGCACAGCTGTAATTAAGACCTGAAGAATGAGTAAACAGTCATGAAATTCAACTTTCCATTTAGTCCAGGCAAGTTTGAATCCCAAAAGGGGGAAATTAAAGACAGTAGATGTCAGAGAAGCAGAAAGAAATCAAGCGGAGGGCACATAGTTTAAAACATTTTATAACAGCATATAACGAATCTGTGGAAACCCTTTTGGAGAATACAGTAATTAGAAAGCTTAGTAAGAGCAGCAGTAAACATTTATACTAGCTGCTGTCCAGTTCAAAGTTCAAAAAAAAAAGATTTAAACTTTCAATCGTAAGTCTACCTGTCACTGACAGGAGATTTCCCTTAAGGCCTGATTATTACTTATTCATAACTTTATTAGTTATCATTACAAGGTCTGATTTAGCTTGTTGAACATGAAAAGTTGGGCATTGTGCTGTCAGTGTAATCCAGTCAGGCAGTTCCCATATTGTGCTTGGTTGGCACAGGAACCAGAATCTTGTCTGGACTGCAGGTCCAGGCTCAGTGCAATCCACAGCCTTTGCTCCCTTATTTATTCACTTGCGACTGATGCCAGAAGATTTCTGGAACTTTTTATTGTCTGCCAGTAAGGAAGTGATGGGCGTGCCCATGCTGTGGGGTTTTGGGTATCTCATTAACCTGGGAGGAATCACTGGAGTGAAACCACAGTGTCCTGTGGAAGGGAATGGGGAAATGAGCTGCCAAGGCCTGTCTGTGGTGTTTGCCATTGACTGGCACAGAGCTGCTGGCTGCTCCTGAGAATGCCAGCAGCAGGAATTACATCCCTTAAACTCATGAGTGTTTCTGCATGAATGAGTGCAAACTATTGGCCTTGGGAGTGAGGTGGTTTCAGAGAAGTTGTGTGGCTGCGTTGCTGTGCCACTTAACCCTTGCTGCTGTTTTCAGTGGGGCTTTTTGTGGGGTAATGTGGCTGCCTCATTTCTGGGCTGGATTAGGTCACTTCCAGCATTTTAGAAGAGCAAACAATGCTAACATGATACTGCTCAAATGTGTCCATCCCTGAGTGCTGACAGCTCTTCATGGGTTGGACATAAACAGAAATGTGTGCACAATCCCCTTGAAAATCTCCTGTTGTCTATAACAGCCACTGTTGTTTGAATGACTTTTTCAGGAAATCACTGAAGCCAGATAAATCTGTAGAAACTGAACCTGTGGGCTGAGGAAATGCCTCTTCATGGACATAAGTGGTTTATTGTTGTTCTGAAATTTCTTTTTCTGTCTTTCACAAAGAACTGTCTGGTGAAGGAGAATGAGGGGGAATTTTAAGTTAAAATAAGAATCCAAAATCTCTTTGAAAGTCAAATGTAATATCAGCATCATAGAGTTCTGATTGATTCTTTAAAAGAAATGGTTAAGAATTGGTTAAGACTTTTTCTGGAGGCAAAGCATATTTAATTATTGCTTCCAGAGCCCTCAAGAAGCATATGCAAGGAGAATATCCATACTTGCAATTTATCAGAAAAAAAAAAACCCTGTATTTCCAGACATAATCCTCAAGTAGATATGGTTCAATATCTTGTTTTTCAGTCTCTAAGGGAAGTCTAAAAGAGGACATGATATTAAGATGGTCACATGTGAAAAGAGTATAATGGAAGCCTGCCAGGTGCAGCTATTTAATTTGGCCCTTTATAATAGAATGTGACAGCACTCAAAGATAAGAAGAAGCTGTTTTGAAATTGAATTGCAGTAGCATTTATACGTGATGAATCATTTAAAGAAGGTTTATTATAGATTCCAATTGGTCTTGTCCTTTAGTAATAAAAAAGAGGACACTTAAAGCTAAACCATTGTTAAATCAGGCAGGTAAGAAAATAGATTACCTGAACAACATTTAATCAACTCATAGCAATCTCATGTCTACAGGTTATTATTGAAGCAAATAAATTAGTATTTCTTTAGGAAGATGTCAGGATGAGAATAGTGAAAGTACTTAAATTAATTGAGGTTATAGGAAAAATTTAATATTATAACCAAACTGTATTATACAATTCTTTGTGCTGTGAAAGTAGTTTATGTTTTCCTCTCAGACATCAGCACTAGATACTATTGGAAGCTGGATGCTGGAACAAATAAGAGAGGTGCCAATAACAACTTCTGCCCTTTCTGAGCATTGTTTTTAAGTGGGCTCCAAAGCTTGCTTATAATTCTGGGATTCAATCAGACTCCTTACAGGCTCTTACTGTAAGACAACTGGTTTTGTTGTTGCTTGAGGAAATCTTAACCATATCGGAAGCCCCCTGCTTGGACCAAAAAGTCCACCTGTAAAAGCAAGTACTGCTGAGTTCCTCATGCTTGTCCATCAGGTGTGTATGCTGGCTGTAACTGATTTGGTATTCATGCTTTATTTAGATTAAATTTGTGAGTAATGTCTGTGCTGTCCCTTGGCATCTTTTTCTAATCCAGTATAAAGCTCCAGTACACAGCAAAAAGATCAGTACCAGAGAAGATTTATTAATATGACCCTTTAACATCATTATTTTAATAGTTTGATTTGTTTTTTCTTAGGTTTTATTTGACATGTTCAGGGATCAGTGATTACATTGAAATGTGCTTGGGTCTTTGCATAGATTCAGACTGATGTTTGGCAGACCAAATTAACACATGATTTGTTCACATCTATAACCTTTTTCAGTAGAAACTACCTACTTCTTAGTCTTAATCTGAACAAAATGTAGAGATGATGGGGATTCAGTAAACAAATCACACAGTTGGGTGAACTGCATATCTTCATGTTCCTGGAATGGCTACTGAGAGAAATGTGTCTGTCCTTACATTAATGACTTACAGTAAAAGTAAAATATGTCCAGAAGCAGTTTGCAAAAGGTTGCTGGCAGCCTCACTTCATGCCGACCATTTGTTTTATCTCTGGGTCAGGATCTGTGTCCTGCTTTTGGCTGCAGTTCACTCCAGAGTTATTTTACCTCGTCAGAACCCATCCGCACACAATAATCACTTCATGGAAATCACGAGATCTTTATCCCTCAATCCAAAATGTAAATGAAGAAAACAAATATTGGAGAAGGAGAAACACTGGGCAGGGCTGCACGAGTGGTTTGAATTACGGTAAATAGGCCATGCATGTGACTGGTCACTAACAATAATTTCATTTGGTTCACCTAGAAAAAAGAAGAATGGAGAAGAAGAGCAGCCAAAGCCCTCTCTCAGTAATCAATACCGAATTGTTACACCCACATTCCAGTATAATATGGATTACAAGAAAGTTGGCAAATGTATTATTATAAACAACAAAAATTTTGAAGACAAAACAGGTAATGTTCTTTCTTTGATGATACTCATTACTGACCATAGAATTTTTATACTTTTTTATTTTTATACTTATACTTTAATCAATAAGTATTCTATTTTTAGGACGTGATATTTTAATGAATGTTTTTATCTTTTTTTGATAAATAGTTGTTCCTAAAACTTTTCCTGTTCTCTAACACCAATGTTAGAGTGGCTCTTTTCAACATCTTTTCAGTATATGTCTCAAACACCATGTCTCCTTGCTGTACCAATTTCAAACTAAACCTTTGTTCCAGAGTTTAAAACTATGTTGTTAAAATTTGAACTTTGGCATCTGCAACCCATGTTATAAATTCCCTGTCCCTGAGCTGCAGCTATGAGCTACAAAAGCTAATATCTGTAGGTGTGCTCTGTTCACACTCCTGCATTCAGCTTTCCAGACCACATGTGGTTTCAAGGTAGACAAATAGTTGTGTTATAATCAGGTTTGTAGGATTTTTCCTGTACACTTGGCAAACACAGTAAGTTGTTTTCCCCAAAGGTTCTGTGTCAGTTCCTTTTACTGGATATAATAGGGACACTTTTCAGCAGGTTTTCCATGGGGTGCTTTGTGTTGTACTGCATAACCAAAAGGAGCTGGATCCTCCTTAGAGCTCCTGTGTTGCAAGGTGCTGGGGGCATGCCAGCATTTTTCAGGATAAGACGTGTTAACACTGAACATTGCCTTGTTTTTAACATCTCACAAGTTGTTCTCCATGCTGCTAGAGGATTATTTTAAAAACATGTCACCAAGACATTGTTTAATTTTATCAATGATAAACTTAAACATTTGCCTTTGAACACGTGAATCACTTTGAGTTGTGTAATGTGCAGTCAACCATGTTCTTTGTTTCCTGGCAGGAATGGGCACACGCAATGGCACTGACAAAGATGCTGGAGACCTTGCTAAGAGCTTTAAAAACTTGGGCTTTGAGGTTGATATACACCATGACCGAAGCCGTGATGATATGGAAAAATTACTGAAGAAAGGTAGAAATTCAGAAGCATAGAATAATTTAGCGGGGAACAGACCTTTGGAAGTCACTGAATCTACTCCCTGCTTACAGCAGGTTAAATGAGAGCAGATTGCTTGGGCCCCACACATACAGTTTTCTGTATGGAAGGATTTGTTTTCTGAATGGACCAGGCTTAATTCCCCACCTCATCCCCCAGCATCAATTCAGAAATGCACGGTGTTCTTGTGAAGCACTTGTCCTGTGTATTAGCTGAAGAGCCTTCATACTAGATAAGGGGTTCAGCCTGGTGATTCCAGTGGGCCAAACTCAGAGTCAAGTGAAGGATGCATCCATGTACTCAAGGTACTCACCACATTGTAAAAGATGATCCACTCCTCATGCCTGACAGTAGGAGCCCAGTGTATATTTAGCCTCAGAAAAATGTGCTTGCTAAATATAATTTCCATTTAAAACATGGCTTCTTTTTGACTCAGAAGTGTTTGCCTTGCAGCTGCTGAGGAGAACCACAGTGATGCTGCCTGCTTTGCCTGCATCCTCCTGAGCCATGGGGAAGAAGGGCTCATCTATGGCACAGATGGACCCATGGCTATCAAGAGTCTGACTGCCCTGTTCAGAGGAGACAAGTGCAAAAGCCTTATAGGCAAACCCAAACTGTTTTTCATTCAGGTAATAGCCCTGAGGTGAATACAGTGTCCTGCTGCTGCAGCAGGGAAAACATGCTCTGTAGGTTGTCTGCCCTTACATGCCCTGTAGCTTGACTTACTGAGTGTTGCTGGAGGTTTGTGAAAAAATGTGTTGACAAAAGTTGTCTGTGGGTCAAATTATTGTTTGTTTTTAAAAGATAATTTATATATGGGATTCACAGGTGTAAAGAATGTTTTCATTGTAATTTTCTACATGTTTTTTCTTGGTAATACATGAACTTCAAAGTGAAAAGATAAACTCACTTCTCTGCAGACAAAGCTAAGGGCAGTACCTGATTTTCCATAGCAGTAATATTGTCCAGGTCTCTTTGAATTAAGGCTGCCTCTACAAACCACTGCTTAAAGAAACACTTTTCTGTCCCTAAGTAGCCTAAAGATTTATATTGCATTTTTAAACTAGCATGTAATTAATTGTACTAGTAATAAAATTATTAGTTAATGTATTAATTGTATTAGTTAAACTTTTAAAGACAACTGTTTCAAACAGCAGTAACTGACACATCATGGGTCTGAATTCTCTTTTTTACATTACACATAGTATTATTTACATACATGAGTTGCAGCAGATGTGGTTTTCCCTAGGCTATTCCATCAATTAATCCTCATCCTCAAAGTGAAAACTGTTTTAGACTCTTCATACTACTGAAGTGATGTTTCTTCTAATTACACTTTTGAAATGGTTGCTTTATAGACTTTAAAATTATCTTAATAAAGGCAATCAGCCCTCTTATATAAGCCAGTCAGACTTGTTCTTTTGCAAGAGCTGTCAGTCAGAGCTACTGATCAAGAGCTGAAAATTACCCACCAGGACCATTGTCCCAGTGTGCCCTTTAGCTAAACCCATGATTAAGAGAAAATTAAGAATCAAAGAGATAAATGGAAAAGTATTAAAAGCACAATATACTTGCAATGGGTGGTCAAACACTGGACCACATTGTCCGCACTGTAGAGTCTCCACCTGCAGAGTCCACTGCCAAGAAATTGTCCAAAGTCCCACTGGACACAGCATTATGTAATAATTGGGTGCTGAGAATGACTCTAGACTGGTAAAATTAACCAGGGTTAGAATACATCAGTGCTGACATGGCACTTATTGGCAAACAGCTGAGATGCACAGCCTCAAAACCTTTGCCTCCCTCTGCTTACAGGATGTATATTTTTCAAAGGGTAAGCTTGTAACTTTGTCACTGAACAATTAGATATCCCCCAGAATTGCATCTCTGCTTTTAATACATTCAAAGTACTGCTTAGAACTGAATCCAGTAAAAAACTTTGATGAATACTAATTGTTATAACACCTTGTTTCTGCTTACTGCAAACATGCTACTTGTATTCTCTGCTTTCAGGCCTGCAGAGGCTCTGAATTTGATGAAGGAATACAAACTGACTCTGGACCTGCCAATGACACCCTGGAGACAGATGCCAACCCGAGATACAAAATCCCAGTAGAAGCAGATTTTCTGTTTGCTTATTCCACAGTGCCAGGTAAGGAAAAGAAGATCAAGATGGGGGTGGAAGCCTGAAAACTCACCATCCATACTGGTGAGATGGACCCCCTGATGATACATTTTACACTGATGGACAAAGCACAAAGGATTGGTGTACATTGCATATCCACCCCTTCTACACAGGCTGCAGAGGAAAAGGGAGATTACAGATGGCAAAGGCCAAAGGATTCCCTGTGTTCTGGGAATCTTGCACTTCCATGTCCTGGAGTGCTGAATGTGTGATGAAGGCAGGAAGAGGAATAGTTCAGTATTTATTCTCAGTACAGTACTTATTCTCAGAAAGGAAACCTGTGTAATTTTACTTCTTGCAGATTCTCTAATGCCAAAATGTAGAATGGCACTTAAGCAATGTGAGGTTTGAAGAGTTAATACATATTATTCTCAGCTTTAATGAAGTAGGATGTGTAACACAGCCATTAAGAGCTCAGCTTTCAGTGTGTGCATTCTCAATCTTTGCCCAGAGTCTTTCACTCAAAACAGCAAAAATCACTCCCTGTATTTTCTTCCTCTTCTTTTCCTGTCAGGTTATTACTCCTGGAGGAATCCTGGAAGAGGCTCCTGGTTTGTGCAGTCTCTGTGCTCTGTGCTGAACGAGCATGGGAAGCAGCTTGAGATCATGCAGATCCTCACCCGGGTCAACTACGTGGTGGCCACCAACTTCGAGTCGCAGTCGGACGATCCGCGCTTCAGCGAGAAGAAGCAGATCCCCTGCGTGGTCTCCATGCTCACCAAGGAGCTCTACTTCTGACAGGGCACTTCAGTGCAGCCCCTGGTGGAAGGCCAGGCTGTGGTTTTGGGTGGACATGTGGTCGTGGACAGGAGTAACACATTTTTAATAACAGACATGTGGTAACACGAGGTTTTTTTGTAAGATGGGGTATCTGATGGGTGGAGAATATGCAATATTTTAAAGAAGCTGTGGGCCAGCCTGACAGCTATCACTGATTATTGTGTCTTGATTTCTCTTAGTGTGGCTGTCGTGGTTTATGGCTACTGAAGATGTTTTTTCCCAGAAAGCAGATTGTAAATTAAGAATAAAAACAAAAAATCTCATGACTCCTTCTCGTTTACTGCTAGCTCATGGAACCATAATCTCCTTGGAAATTTCCAAAGACCATCATATTATGGGTATGTCCAGTAGTGAAACAGTTTGTAGGTATTTAAAAGGGTGTTTCTTAGTCTAATATATTAATTTCCTTTTAATGGACATTATTCATGAAGGCTAATGGTTGCTCTGTGCTCAATCTAGAAGTCAGTTTACTTAGTCATCATTCTAGCATAAAATGAATGTATAAAAATCAATATTTTTAGATCATTACCTGAACAGTATAGGAATGTAACAAATAGAACAATCAAAATGAAAATCTCTGTAAAAGATTGGCAAATTTTACTTGGATGGAACCATAATAAAGTGCCTTTGTAAAGATATTTTGCCTTGCAAATGACAATTGACTGAGAGAGCAACCTGAAATGGTGGTATTGCATTTCTTCTGCTTGCAGAAATAAAAATGTTTGGTCATGATTCAAAAGTTAATGGCAAGGCTTTAAAACATTAAAATTTAATGTTAAAAAGGTAGAATTATATGTTCCAATGACAAATGTATGTTTATATTTAACTTCTAGTTGCCAAAACTGGAAATGGTTACTTGAATCAGAAACCAGAAGTGCCTTCTTAGTTACTGTACGGTCTTGATTTTGTGTTTTAGAGTTTTGTTGGTGATCCTTATATTTCTACTTGTTATATTTCCTTTAGTTGGTAGCTAGGTCAAAAAAAAGTAAGTTTAATGATTTGGTTAAACTGATAAAGAATTAGTTGTTCACCCATTTCCCAGTTAATGTACTCTATGCTCCTTGCAATCTTCTGAGAAAATGAAAACCAAATTAGCAAATTGTTAAGTTTATTTTCTTACAAATACTGTGAAATAGTGAGACATATATTTTTTTCATAAGTCAAATTTACAGTTGTTTGATTTAAATAAATGATGATTTATGGAAATATTGAGCATTACATCAATAAAGGCCTTTTTTAAAAAATTTCTTTTGTATATCTTCATGTTTGTCATTTGATCTGGTAAAACAAAAACCAACCAAGATATGTCCCAGTCCTTTTCTCTTTAAGGAATGCAGGTGGTCTCTGCCATCTTTTCAGGAGGAGGTTTACAGTGTCAGGGGAAAGGTAGATTAGAGAAGTGATTTGGCATTGGGTGACTTGGGTTGGACAGGCCACGTCCTCTCTTGGAGTAAACTAAAGTTAGTGGAAGTATTTTATTGGAAATACCATGTTCCACCAGTGCTTCGTCTTGCCCTTTATGCAGTAAATTGTACAGTGCTCTAGCAGTGCATGTGAAAGTGTTCTCCTTGATCCTTCTGCTCCATCTTAAGCTATTTTCTGGAATTAAGGATGTTCCTGGTTTACCATGGCCAGCCAACATTTCAGTATTTGTTACTTCTCTAGAGGCTCTTTCATGTCTTTTTAGTTCATTAGTGTTTATTTGCTTGAGGTCTAGCCTGTTATTAAATTTCTGTGAACAATATTCCCCTGTCTCCAGAACTTCAGTTCCAAAATATGAGATATAGAAAGATCAGCATAAAATACCTGAATACACTGCCTGAGAGGAATGTAACATGGAAAGATTAACTTAGAGAAGTGAAAGACAGAAAAACATCCCCTTGTGTCAGGACCAGGATCTCTCCTGGATGTGCATTGCTTTAGATCATGTCCACATAAAATTAATATTACTTAAAAAGAAAATTGTGTACCACCAGCCATCAGCCCTGAGTGGTGATGCTGACAGAGCTGGGAGCTGTGCAGCCCAGGAGCCCACTCAGAGTGAGGAACCCCTGACCCTTCACTCCAGCAGAGCCAGTTTGCTGAACAGTGATTTAAAAAGCTGCAGAGTGTTTTAGCTTTTTCCCCTGATCAAATTTATGACTATTTTCTATTGGAAAGCAATTCCCTTGCCATCTGCAAGATTAGCCAGATGGTTTAGTGTGTAAATCCTCTTTCATTATTGATACTCTGAATGTTTCTGGAGAGAATCCCAAAAATTCACTTTCAGCCAAGACTAACACTGAAATTACATTGTCATGACAAAGGCAGCACAAGAAATCCTGCTTCACCTTTGCACGTTTAACTAAATGCTGTTTGAATCTGAAATTGGTTTCAAATTATGGTACTTTTATGATCTTTAAGGGTTCTAACTGCTGCTGTATATTCCAGCCATGGGTGGATATTATGATTTAGAAACAGCTCAGGAAATGAGGGGACTGTTCAGAAAGCTGAACCAACAAAACCAGGCTGTGTCTAGGTTGTTTTTCTATGTGGGGGACATTAATTACTGCCTCAAATGTGCATATTTTTCATTGCTTCTAAGTGAATTTTAATCTTCTGGATTTCCCCTTTCTAGAGCAGTGTTTAGTTACTTCCCATGCAGAAACAGGAATTTCCTTGTGGGTCATGTTTCAGGTGTTTGTATTTATACAAGGACTATAAGAGGGCAGTCACAATGCAGGGTGAGGACTCGTCATGTTTTGCTGCAGGAGGCAGCGCAGGGAGTCTGGATTTACCTGAAAGTGTGTTTCTCTAATAACCTTCTTCACCATGAAGACATTTTGCTTGTAAGTATTAACACAGTTTGTTTTCCTTGTCTTGGAAATTTTTGAAGTTTTATAACAGCTTTCATCGTCATGATTTGAGGCATTTTATTTACGTTTTGACTGAAATGTCTCATTGCATTTCAAAAGGTTTGAAGCAATCAAATCCCTTAATGCCTGGCATACAAAAATCTGAGGGGGTATTATCATGGAATTGGCATTTTCTGTTTTGAATTAGGCATAACCTGTTTACAATGTTGCTTTCAGTTGAAAAGACAATTAGATGTAACAATTAAAAACTTTTTCCCAAAAGGCAGAGTGAGATAGCACAACTAATCTCAAGAGTATTTGTCTTCCTACATGCAAATCTTGACTTTTACTGACATCCAGAAGAGACTTTTATCCTGCCAGAGACTCTTGGAACATTGTTTTGTAGTAATTGCATCGTTTGCCAGTTGAGGTGACTGTCAGTCACACTGAACACAACAATACATTGCCTTTTATTGCAACCCCAGGTGTGTGCCCCTACTATTGACTTTGTGTACAGTCATTTTTAGTTTTGGAAATTGCTTTTTTGTCCTTTTATTTTTCTGGTAGGCAACAGATGAAAACTCTAGAAGCAAATTTCATAACAATTTATCATGGCATTTATACAACAAATCTTTCTTCCCAAAAAGAAAAAATTGTAAAGGTTTCCCTGAAAAAAACTCAAAAAAATACAGACAGAAATGTGCAGAAACCTGTGATGGACCTATGTTTGCAGTGGGTCATTCCCATTTATAGCCTGGAACAGGAGGAATGAAAGTCTATAGCTTTAGGTGTGTCTCAGGGGTAAAATTCCATGTGTAACCCACTCTACTCCTGGCTGGACCATGTTTACTTTTGGCACCATGGAGCAAATCACTGAAGAAAGAGAAACAGAGGAAAGCCCTTAAATCTCTCACTGCAGCCAGGGTTCTCAGTAAAGAGCCAGAGAACAGCACTTGTAATCCTTCAGGATTTCCCAGCAGAGGCTCTGTGGCTTCAGGTGGCACAAGAGGGTCTGTGTAACCTCCTTGTAGGTACAACGACTTGCAGCCAAGACCTGATTTTGCAGGGAATGAGAGTCTTGAGGTAAGGCAAAGGGAACTTTTGAAAAGGCATTGTATGAATAAAACAAGTTTGCAAGTCATTAAAATTGCCATAGTAACTTAACTGTATTTTCTACATATGTTTTAAACTCTTTAGGCCAAGTTATACCCGATTTGTACAGGACTGATAACACTGGCAAAGCAGTGTCAGAAACATACATGAGTGCAGTATTCCTAGGTTACAGGTGTTGTGACTAGTGCAAAAGAAAGGGCCAAATGAAGTTCTCTTGGCAGTTCTCATTGCTTCTAAGCAAATCACCTTTTTGGCTTATAAAAGTAGATAATATTTGTTATTTGTAATTTTGTGATTGTATTATAAAATAACAAATACAGCACACAGTGTATAATTTAATATGATATAAAACTATTTCTGAATATATTTAAATTAATAGTTATTATGGCTGTTTTATGTATTTTGGTCATCAGTATGAAAATTAACCATTGTAAGATTTTTTTTTTCTCAACAGTAATTGTGTGTGCAGTGAAATGCTGTTCTGCAGCAAGCAAACTGAAAGGAATTAGCTTCAACATTTTTGCTCTTTTTGTTATCTGAGTGGAAGAAACAATCAGGATGGCTTCTACAAATAAAAGAAATTCTGCAGGTACAAAATTTCTTATACTAAAATTTGTCAGTGGTAAAGCTGTGAGATGATCTATCCTTACCTGAATGCCATCTATTAATTTCTTTTGGGGTGCATTTCAGATCACTAATTATGAAGCTAAATAAGACCAGACCCCAAAAGTTAAATAAGATCAATTAAATAATGCAGCAGCTCATGATATCTTCTAAACCCCTACATTTTCACTACCATTACTTTGCAGTTTGGGCCAGATGTCAGCATTAACACCAGGGAAGCAGGGCCTGGCTCTATATTTTATAGCCTTGATTTATATTTGTTTTATGGCCATTTAAGCCCAGAAACCCAGTGCTAAGCAACAATTTCCAGTTCAAACAGGTCTTTTTAAAGAGATTAATTGGAAGCAAGTTCAGTAATGGTGCTGTTCATTTCTCTTTGATTAGTGAGAATTCAAAATACATTTTGCCCTGAAGGTGGAGTCTGCAAGCACGGATTCCTCATCAAATCACCACCTCTTCAACTTTTCAGCTCACAGGTATACCAGCACAGATTAGTCATATTTCAGCAGTCCCTGATATCTGCTGTCCTGAATTTTAATGAGACACAAATTGCGTTCTCTTTGGCAGAATTCCTGGAAAAGGCGTCTGTTTGTCCTGTCCAAGGCCAGCACAGGGAATTACATCCTGAAGTATCTGAAAGGCCAACACATGAAAGGCTCCATAGCTGTTGATCAGTATGTAGCTCAAATGCATCACCTTTTTTATTTTGAGTCATGTATCAGCACTCTGCAATGGCCACTGATTGTGCAAGCACTTGAACAAGTCAGGATTGGGTTCTTGGTTCAAACCCAATGAACTCCACAAAAGAGTCCCTTGGGATTTGTAGGCTTTGGGTGCAGCTAGGATAAATGTAGAAGTGAAAATCCTGAATTGCTTTGTTGTGATTTACTTTTGTGTGAGTGATTGTG